TGAAATTCAACTAAACTTCCCACAGATCAAATTTGAGTAATAAAGCCTTTGGTTTGGAAATAATAAATAAACCTAATAAAGCCTTTGGTTAAACAAGACACTAAAAAATATGATTTGGTTTTCTCAACTAGTATAAAAAAACATTGAATTTCTGCAATTGTTTTTAGAAGAAACTGAATATTAGAAAGAAGAAACTAAAGTACAGGTGCTTTATAAGACTTCAAAATTGTATCAATCAACCATTGTGTTAGTCTCAGTAACCTAGATAAAACTCAGATAGTCTAGCAAAGAAACAGCGATAACCAAGTTAAAATAATTTGAAATGCAATTTTTAGGTTTGTTTAGAGGTGTTGATTAATAATATTTCAAACTATTAAGATAAAATCTTTTAATGCTTGAATAAGATTTAAACTATAAAAATTATCATTGTTACTTGCTTTGCAAAATTATGTAATTAAAAAAGTTATATTAAAAACATATCATACACAGTGCAACAATAAAGTCAAAATTTGTTATAAATTCAGAAGAAGAAGCAGTAGCAGAGGCTGCACCATTAATGACATTCTTTGACACAGAAAACCACAGGTATAAAAAACTTTCGTAAAGTATCCATGCCACAAGTGTTTTCTTTAATGTGGTTCAGCATAGTTCCTATTACGATTATCATGAATCTTATAAAGGATAAACAATATGACTAATTAAAATTATACTTAATAAGTCTAAATTCTTCTTCTTGATTATAAAAGAAAACCAGTTTTTATCGATGCAACTATAAACAGCTTCTACTTGTAATAACTCTCTATCTTCCTTTCTTGTATCCAAAGGATATCGTGATATCAAAAGTTCTACACAATTAAAGGAATATTCGGTCGCCTAACTTTAAAGGAAATGATGCTTTTCTTTAACATACTAACTTTTTCTCTAAAATGCTATATAAACTTTTTTTTGGATTCTGGATCTCCTGCTTTTTAAACAAGCGCTATAACCACTGCGCCACGGCCGCATAAATTTTTTATGAGGCTTTGATAGTTTTTTTTATATAACTCCAGAAAAGTGCATTTATTCTATGATGCTGTAGATTTAATTAAAAATGTAGAAAACAACTTGCTAAATCGAAAGAGGTTTCCCCCCCCCCCCCCATTTGAGTTTATTGGGTTTAAAGATGATGTTACAGTAAAAGGTGGAGAAGTATCTTAAAAACTGTTTCATGACGTCCATGAAAAAGATCCTGCTTTAAATTCAAATTTACGCAAAGCTCAAAAACTAACAAATAATGTGCTACACCCCGCAAAATTTAAACAAAATGTTCATGTTGCTCTAGACTTGTTTAACAAACTTGAAACTTGACTAGAAAGGATAATAGCTGGTTTGAAATCGTACTTTCCTTTACGTGAGGATGCTGTTGGCTTTTTAGACTTGTTTAACAAATGGTGGATTTTTGTTAATAGTAAAAAACAGTTTTGTTTAAATAACTATTTAGGAAATACCACTATCTTGAATGATAAAAAACCTGAATTTTTACGAGCAATGACATTATATATTTATAATTGGGAAAAACAAAAAATTTTGAACTGTAAGAAATTTGTTTTGCCTGCTCAAACTTGTGCAGTATTTAAATAAAATACTTGTCATGCCTCTTTAATTGAAGATCTTTTGAATAAAGGTAATAAATTTGTCATGATTGCAAGATTTTAAAGTGATCTAAAGGTTTTAAAGTGATCGAAAGGAGAGAAGGTTTTGACAGTAACGACAAATGAGTGGTGACAGGTTTTTGGTAAGTTTAAAAAATGTTTTGTGTTCTGAGCGTATTATCAAAGTTTAGTTAAAGAAGGCATTGATATTTTAAGTAGTGATATTAAAGACTAATGATCAAAAAAATATTTTAAACAAACTTTTGGACAAACTTCAGTGCACTTCTTTAAATAATGTCTTTGCCAGAATATAGCAGAGAAGTTGTCTTTCATATTACAGGTTATATTACAAAAAAAATTTCGAAAAGATTTGGGAAATGCTGTCATAAACTAATGATTGGAGTAGATAAATATGATTCTCCAGATAAACAATATACCTATAATATATATATATATATATATATATATATATATATATATATATATATATATATATATATATATATATATATACATACATATATATATATATATATATATATATATATATATATATATATATATATATATATATATATATATATATATACATATATATATATTTATATTTATATATATATATATATATATATATATATATATATATATATATATATATATATATATATATATATATATATATATATATATATATATATGTATATATAATTGTATATTATCTACTATTATTGACAATTTGAAATTACATCGAAAATTAAATAAAACAGTAATATCGTTTGAAGATTGGTTAAGTAATCGTAAAACATCTGAAGGAAATGTTTTATGATTTACTCAATGTGATGTTGATTTACACAGTGTTGAAATAACAGGGTCACTAAAATCAAGAAATCTATTGTTTAGTTCAATATTTGTTGCTCATTTGGATGTTTTCCGACTGAAATTTTCGCGATAAGTTTTGAACTCTTTATTTTCAGCCTCTTGAGTCTTTTCTGACATAAGTCTTATGAGTAACATAAATCTTTGAATTATGTCATGTCTATGTATTAACAATTTGTGTTTTTACAAGATGGTGTAAAAACTGAATACAGTCAATTCTCGATATCTCGAATACTTAATATCTCAAACTTTTTTAGCGGTCCCATACACATAACCTACTAGTTTAGGCTAAAATCCTCTCGATATCTCGAACTTTTTGGTATCTTGAACAATATTTTAATATCTTTTCAACAAATTTTTTTTCAAGAAATGTTTTAATAACATTTAATTTTTTTAAATTCCAATTTTCGAAAAGAAATTTTTTTAAATACGATTTTTTTTAAGAATCAAATTTCTGAAAAGTATTCCTTCAGTATATTAATTATTATTCCTTCAGTATATTAATTTAATCTATAAAAGAAAAATATATAATAGAAAAAGGTTTTGATCGATACCCAGAATTTTAGTTGTTCGTTCATATTCTGCAAAAGGGCTTCTTAAGATTTGCATACAAAATTTTTTTTTGTATGCAAATTTTAAGAATCTGAAGTAGGCTATGACTTGATTTTTTCCAAATATTTGCTGCTGTTAAATCCAGTCAAATCCAATGGTACTAGACAAGTAATAAATAACGATTCTTCACGTTTTAAATCTCTGTCCACGTCAGGTTATTTATAAATGCTTATGCCAGTTGCACCATCAAAGCCAACATAACACGTGATAGTCATTGTTTTTAATGCTTTGTTTTTCAATGCCAAGTGATTTAGTACATGTTCATAAATTGCACAGATTCTTTGCAAAGTATGAATCATTAAATCTTTTAAAGGAATTGAAGCTGAATAGTCCTCCAATGTTATATTTTCAGGAAAACATATCAACTTTGCAATGTTATCTGCAAAATAACCCAATAAAGTGTACATAACGCGAATTAAAAGCTGTAAAAATGATATGCAAAATTAGGTACCATAGGAATCAAGTTGAAACATATAAAATCAGGGCAGAGACTATCATGGGTTAATTTATAACTTAATATCAGTTATTAACTGATACAAAAAGGTATGACGGCAGGGTTGGATTAGCTCTAAAACATGGACCGGAAAAACCATTAGTGACCGGCTTCATCAAATTGTAAAAGCCTGTTTACACTTCTTGTTTTTATAAATGTCTTTTAATATTTATAATAAAAGGATGGGTGAGAGTTTTTTCTATAATCGATTTAACGGGGGGTTGTATCGACAGACGATTTCGCACTCAAATGAAACAGCCCAAGGTTTCTTCAAAAAAGGGACCTAGTTTTAATAAACGTCTTTTCACAAGTTTTTAGGCTTTGTTAAACTTTCTTAATTTTTAAGGAGATTTGGTTAAAAACGTCAAAAAATGTATTAAAAACTTACGAAAAACTTATTACTCAAAGAGATTCAATCTCCTTGAGGTTACTCATTAATAATCTCTTTGAAGTTATTTAATAAGTTTAAAGAAAGTTTTAATTATTTAAGGTTTTTAATGAAGAGCGGGAACCCTGTAACACATTAATAAAATAATACAAATAAAGAAACCATTATGTTTAATAACTAATGAGGTATAATAATCTAACTTATTAAAACTTTTTTTAGTAAAGAACTATGTTTTACAAGTTCATCAATAATGTTGTCGTGTGTTAATTCTTCTAAAATATCTTAATTCAAATTCATTAAGTTCCAAGCATCCAAATTCTCAAGTTATAAACAATATAATAGCATCATGACAGCCGAGAACTTATCCGAAAAAAAATATAATTTTTATAACAAGACCTTTTTTCAGAAATATACTTTGTTGACGCTTTAGTGGTTTCTTCTTTTAATATCTTTATCTACCAGTTTTACGGTACTCATGACACGTCATAAAATTATACTTTTATTATGTCTTATTTTTATTATTAACAAGATATGACGGAATTTCAAGTGGAAAAAGTACTTTTTTTTACTAAGTACAGTAACAGGCGGAAGCCGGCGGCCACAGCCACAAAAGTTGCCCGGCCTACCGGGAATTTTTCCGGTGAGCTAGTCCAGCCCTGATGACAGGTTTTAAGACAAGTTTTGAATTACATTTTAGCATAAAAAGCCTATGGCCTCACACAGTGCGAAAATTCTTTCCAAAATAGTATCTTGAACTTAAAATAAAAAAATAATTTACTTCTGTGTTGTGCATTTGCAAGAAAAAATGGTCAACAAAAAATATATAATATTTTATTTATATATATATATATATATATATATATATATATATATATATATATATATATATATATATATATATATATATATATATATATATATATATATATATATATATATATATATATATATATATATATATATATATATATATATATATAATATATATATAATAAAAATATAAAGTCATAACATGTGTTTTTCATCTACTAAAAAATCTACCAAAAAGTTTGAAAGCTGTCAAAAACACATACAAATTTTTTTCTCATTACCATCCATAAGTATAGAGCGCTTATTTACAGTCCGTTCTTTAAAGTATTACCACCCAATACGACTGCTGATGTTCTATTTCGTCCAACTGACTTTTTGTACATCGTAATGTTCTGACAGGCTGCCTAAATATTCGTTCAACTCCTGAAAAATAAAACTTTAAATTTTTTCTTTGATTTAGGAAGAACATCCAGCAATTTTCACGTTTTTTTTTTAAGAAAAATCTTTTGCTTCAACCTTAATTAGACCAAAAAACCCTAATGCGCAAAATTTGAAATTTCTAAGCCTTTATGATTCTGCATTATTTTAATTTTAATTTTTTACATATAATTCATTATGAAACATAAGCTAGAGTTAGTTTTAATTAATGAATTTTTCAAACAAGTGTTGGTGTAAAACATTTTCTCACGTTGGATCATGTATATTAATCAAATTTGAGTAAAATTATTTTTTTAATGTTATTTTAAATTTTTTGTAAGATCTAATACGTTTCTTCACCTAACGTGATATGGCAACACCGACCGTAATTTATTCTTCACCTACCATGAATGATAAAACCTTATATTTTGTTTTTAATTTTATTTATTTACCTTAAGAAAAAAACGCATAAATTTAATATGATTACTAAATGAAAGAAACATTGGTTTTTTAGTTTTATAAAAATTATCCACTAAAGATTTTCTCTGAATTAGAACTTTGTTTCTTCTTAAGAAGGGGAGAATGGGGCACCATGAGACACTTTTGGTTTTTGCTTCGTAATAATCTTTTTAACACGCTTTCTTTTTAGGCTATTTGTTTAATTTGTAGAATAAGTTTATACCTACAAAATAAATTCTATAAATTACCAAAATATAACAGGTTAAACACGTGAGACTAGTTAAAGTAAAATTAGAAATTTGTTTCAAGGTACCTTACCCATGGGGTACCTTAAAACACACTATGAACATTATTAAAAACGTAAATAAAAAGTATAAAACGTAGAGAAAAGACAGAACTTTTTTTGAAATATAAACAAATTAATATTTATAACCCAAATAATGCATCCAATGGCCCAAATCACCTTTCAGAAGACCAGATAATATATTTTTAATTTTAAATGTTATTCTTAAGTGTCAATAAATAATGGCTTTGTATCGAAACGGGATCTCCTTGTGTTATATTTACATAAATCTTTTTAAAATTGACTATAAATATTAAAATAAATGATTTTTAGAATTGTTTATGACACAACAAAGTACCGTTCTACAGTTTTAGGGGCCCCCACAAATCAAATTATCCCATACTTGCTAATAGAAAATAATCGCTTCATTTTTAGTATCAACTTGTTTTTTCAATGATTTTGTTTAATAAAGTAAAAAGCTTATGAATTGTGGTTTACAAAATAATATTACTTACTGATAGATATTACTGATAGACTTACTGATAGACACATTGAATAAGGTATCTTAAAACTTATGAGCTTTAAAAACTAATAAATTACTTTGTCATCAAAAAAACACAATTTCGACCCTTCGCAGGCCGAATGATGTCAAATGATAATTTTTTTTTTCAAAACATAACTCCAGTATTAACTGCTTCACTATATAAAAGTGGTTGTCACAACTCTTAAGATACCTCCACAATTACAATTTTATTAGTGCCCCATGTATTATTTTGCACCACTCTCCTTTATCTTTTTTTATGCGTTTTTTTCTTCGTTTAATTCTTCGCTGAAATTTATAGCTGTAAGTGCTCCTGCAGTTATTCGTCGGAATATATTAACATAACTTTTATAACTTTTTCCAAATATTTTTTCTCTTTTTCAAATCTTGAATCTTATTATTCTAATTCATTTCATATCATAAATAAAGTATAAAAAGCATATCAAATGAATATTCCCTAGGATTAAATTACCTTTACTTGGTCATTTATATTAACCTTAATGGTTTTTTAGAGAAAAAAATAAACAAAATAAAACACGTCCAAAAAAACGTTTCCATAAACGGTAAGTACTAACTAGTATAATTTTTGTAATAACCTTCCGCGTCAAGGATTAAACGTTATACAAACAAGTAAAATTAAAAACGAATTTTTAAAACCCAATGCTTTTATGTTATTTAAACACAAACTTTGAAACAAATTTTTTCTGATATTATACTATTTATTTTATTAACACTCGGCTGTATACGTGTGTAAAAAAACAAAAATTATTCAGGAAGAGGCGGGGTCTCGAACCACAAACAAAGCGAAGTCACTTCGCTTACGAAGTTAACGTTCAATCCAAATAAGCTAAACGCGCGTATAAGTATAAAATCAATTAATATACTTATTTTAAAAATTATTCTTTCCATATAAAAAACCAACTTAATTAAAATTAACTAAATTAAATGACTTATTGCAAAACTAATTATTGAAAATTGTATTGTCATCAAGCAAGAGTATGTATGCAAACTTTGAAGAAAACCTTTTATAAAAAAATACTAAAAAAATATGTTGAAAAAAAAAAAACTTTAAAAATTTACTTATTTTTTCAAAAACTACGGTAGGTGCTTCTTCACGATAGAGGAAGACATAACCATATTTCTACATGCAGTGAAACGTAAATAATGTATTTTTTAATTTTTATAATTTTTTTAGACGTGTTTGGGTCCTGTATAAATGAATAGTTTTACATAAAAGCCACATAGGGTGAGTTGGGGCACAGTGGATTGAGGGGCACAGGGAATAAGAGGCATTTTCTCAAAGATTAGAATTTTGTTCATCTTGATAATGTAATCATTTTATGTGCTCATATATCAGCAATCTTTTTTTATAGTTGTTACCACAACTATAAAAAAAGTTTTTTGTTTTTGACTACCGGTTTTGGGTAGGTAATTTTTGTTTTTAGCTAATTAAAGTAAATTTTCTAACCTTTCTTATGTTTATTATGGATATCATAGTTGAAATAATTTTAAAAGTTGAAATTTTTCATTCGTATTATTGATATTTATGCATCCTTTTAGTAGGTTAGCTTTTCTTTTAACAACACTCATGTCCCAAGAAATTAGACTTGAACTTTATTTATGATGAGGCACAGTGAATTGGGGTACAGTGAATCTGTTGATTCACTTTGCCCCGTTAATGATCTTAAAGATAAATTCATGCATTTTTAACAAACTACATGAAAATGAATTTATTGGCTTCAAGTTATGAAGTTACTTATTATTACAAGTTATTTATTACTTTCAAGTTATAAATTTCAGATATTTTTGTTTTTAAATAATAATATTTGAATAATTTTTTAATTTTTTTAATATTTTTATAAGTTTTATTATTAATAAAATTCTTTTCTTCTCAATTTTCTAAATGTCTATTTTTTTGATTTTATACTAATCTAATTATTAAAAGCGTGCCAAAAATATCGTGTATAGTGTCTTTACTCCCTCACCCTCAAAGTTATTTTGCTACGCTCCTATTCACTATCATTAATTAACAGTTGTGCAACCCCAGTACTGAGATACAGTGAATCACGTAACACAACTCACTTTAAACCTTCATGTGTGCCGTTAGATAATAAATATTCTGGTTTTAGTAATTTCTTATCATAAAGGACATCTCAATCCTTTCACCTTAAAATACATATTTAAACTTTTGCTCAATTTAAAAAATAAAGAAATCCAATTTACTATGCCCTTAACTTCTCATAATTAGAAGAACTTATGTAAATAAAACTTAGTTGGGTTTAGATTTCTTTATTTTTTAAATTTCAGATATTTTTGTTTTTAAGTTAAAAAAAAGCATTTATTTTTTTGGCTTGAAAATTTTAACTTTACGCAGAAAAAATAATAAACTTCTGCTGGAATGTTTTAATTTAGTTCATGTTTAGTTATTTTTAATGACGCAATTTGACGCAAAAAAGGGCGTATTTAAAGCGGTTTGTTGACTTTTCAAATTTATTTTTCAAATAAGATGGCAACTAGTTAACTTGAGATTTTTATATTTTTGAGTATTTTCATATTTTCAACTATCTACTTCAGCATGAAGCAAAAATTGCTGGTACCTTGTGAACATAGTTCCGGTTTTTACGTAGGAGACCACAATGCAAAAGCTGTAACCAGAAAGTTTATCGTATTCAGGCATATGGAACCGTAATTAAATAACTCTTAGCGGCTAATAGAAAACGAGAGGTAAGGTGGTAAATATGATTCTTCAGTGATTTCCAGAATGGTCGCAAGAAATGGCTTGTATGTCTAAAATTTTAAGAAGACATAGTGCTACAAGCTAATGATTGCCAAAGTTTGTAAATTCTATATAAAATCTTTCAATGGAGTATAAGGTTAAAATTCGCAGCAAAATATGTAGTAATAAATATTAGACAAGGTAAAAAAAAAGGTGCTCAATTTAGTATAACCATCGACAAGGGACTTTACATAAGAGCCGGAGACAAGCTTTAAGATCTAGATCTTTTAACCATTGTTTGTACTCGTTGTAGAGAGAGAAGTAAAACTACCAGTATGGTTTAGTAAAAAAAACTAAAAAAATTATTTGCCCAAACGTGTGAATCTTGGAACTGGGAGAGCTAAACGCTTTTTCACATGCTGATAGCATATGGATTTATAAAAGCCATTAAATGCAGGGAACTAGTTAAAAACTAAATTAGAAAAATACAAACTTAATTTTAATGGTAATATTTCAATAAAGGACGGTGGAGCAGTTATGAAAAAGTCAGGCTTAAGCTTGAAAAAACACCACCACACGAGTTAAAGCTATTATTAAAATACAATTAAAATAAAAGGTAGAAATTTCTATTATTCTATTTCTATTCTATTCAGAAATCATTTAATCATTTTTAATTTTATAATTCTATGTCTAATTAATGATTAATTAGAGATGAAATGTTCGATTTATCTTTACCAGTAACAATGTTGAAAGTTTTCCAAAAGGCTCTAGAGCCTAACCTCTGAGACATCAAGCCAACCAATCACGAAGGACAATCACAAGTAAAATCAAAAAATAAATCTTAGTCAGCTTTGGAGTAAATAGTGCGATTAGTTTGAAGAAGTACGAGAAAATATTTATAGATCATTGCATGATTGGAACCATCTAAAGGAGAGCAACGGGAAACTGAACACAAGTTAGGGTCAAAGACAAGACACAAATCAAGGAGTGAAAGTAAGTGATTAGAG